CTGGTAACATCATGTGGGCCACAGGATATGATTTCAGTTTAAATCATTCATTTACCTAACTAAATTTAAAACATAGTTTTCTAAACCCAGTATATTCAAAAGTTATTTCAAAATGTAATTTACATGCCACTATTAATGAAATATTTTACATTCTTTCTTTGGTACTAAGTCTTTAATATATATTTTATTCACCATACATCTCAGTTTAGATTATTAATATTTCTCCCCCCGCCCCCCCCCCCCCCCAAGGGAGAGGGAGAGATAGAAACATCAATGATGAGAATCATTGAGAATCATTGGTTGGGGATTGAGCCTGCAACCTGGGCATGTGTCCTAACCGGAATGAAACCTCGACCTCCCATCCCAGCCGGGCAGATTATTCCCATTTCTCATGCTCAGTAGCCTTGGGTGACTAGTGGCTGCCATGTTGGACAGCGCAGGCCTAGATATCTGCATGGCTTAATCCCTCACTTCATTCAGATCACTGCTTAAATGTCACCTCCTCTGCGTAGTCCTCCTTGATCACCTCATGTCCAGCTGCCAGCCCCATATTTATCCCTAATCTTTTATGCCACTTTATTTTTTACAGGACACCATTATATAATATGTAATATATATGAGTTTATTTGTTCATTTTCTTTCCCTTTGAGATAGAACTTTAAGAGGGCACGGCCATTGTGGGTTTTATTTATCGTTATATCTCAGTTCCTAGCACACAGCAGTTGCACAGCTTCAATATGTGAAATGATTTAAAAAGGATTGCCATAAGATAAAGGAGAAGCACCTCCTTATCAGACCCTGGCTTCCCCTTGGGCTCCGGTTTCACCACTCCCTTCTCTGGCTGATAAGATTGAGTTTTCTACTCCCCTCACTCCCCTGCTCCCTCCTCCCTCTCTTTCCAGGTATCCAAATCTTGTTCATCCTTCAAGACCCACCTTGAAATCTTCTCTTTCTCAAAAGCCTTCTACTATCTATCCTTTGATGCAGATTGATCTCTATCTTTTCTGAACCAGAGGAAATATTTTCCAAGCCTGGTCTGATAGCCCTTTTCAATATATCCCCCCCCTCTTTTTTATCCCCTTATTTGCTCAATCCCCCCCCCCACCTCCCCTGCCTCACACCCTCAAGACCTGTCAGCCTGCTGTCTATCTATGAGTCTGTCTCTATTTCCCTTGTTAGTTCCATTTGTTCATTAGATTACACCTATGAGTGAAAGCATATGGTACTTGTCTTGCTCTGACTGGCTTATTTCATTGTTATTTCACTTTTCAAAGGCACCTCGTTGGATAAAGTCTAAAGGGTTGAGGGACAGGTCTAAAGGGAGTTTGAATGAGGGCATTCTATGTAAAACCTGCAAGTCTTCATGGTAAATATTTCAGATCTTGTTACTCGAGATTGTGAGCTCATTGAAGTCTGAAGCCATATCACACTGGTCTTTGTACTGCCCAACACACTAAACAGAAAATGCCTACAATTGGGATTTAAACAAATCTCCATTCAATCAGTAATTCACTTATTGAACAAATATTTATTAAGCATTGACCATTTTCCAGGCACCACTCTGAGTGCTGGAGACATAGCAGAGAGCAAGACCATCAGACCTTACAACCTAGTCGGGGAGACAAACAGTACAGATGGAACAGTTGCATGGGCAACATGATGTTACAGTTAGATGGTGATACGTCCTGGGAGGCAGGATAAAAGGTGGTGAGAGAAGAGTGCCTGGCACCATCCCCTATTAGACTGTGTGGCCTGTGAGACTCCTGTTAAAGGCATCATTTAAGCAGACATGTGCATTAAGTGAGGACCTGCACATATGGCCTGGCCTGTTAGACTTTATGTATATTCTTTCACCTCTAGAAATTCTTCCTTAAAAAGTTTAGTTGAATATTAAAGTATATAACATAAGAAATATGCTGTTATATAGCAATTAATTAATAACAACGAATGATAGTAAAAGCCAACATTTATTGATCATCTCTTTAAATGCCTTATCTCCTGTAATCCTTTTAACAGATTCTATGGGTATTAAACAACAGAAAGCCACAATTAGCTGGCTTAAGCAAGACATGTTTTAGAGAAATCAGAGAATCCAGAAATCAAATGGGTTTTTGGAGAATAGGAATTACAGAAAATTTGGGAAAGTATAATAGAAGCTGATACAGAAACCAAGTCAGCATAAAGCACTGGATGTTTCTGACCAGGTTCCACCATAGGGGTCTAGGCACTCCAACTATTTTTCCCCATTTCTCTATCATCTGCTCAGAGGTCAATAAGCCAAGAGAGAGAAGCAATTGGGCTATGAGTAAGGAAGTCTGGACACCTTGACTGTCAGTCTCCCAGGCTGTATACAATGGGGGTGTTACCTGGAAAACAAAGTCTTCTCCTAAATCACATGGAAAAGCTGAGGTGAAGCCCTAGGCTTGTGGACTCCAGAGCCTCAACTCTTCACCACTCTACTATTGGTTCTTACTAAATGCTGCCACTATTATAGCAGAGGTTAGAATAGTAGGCACATGGTAGAAGCTTTTCCCTTCTTAAATCCAGAGTAAGATGTTTTGTAAGTATGAAGTGAGTAGGTAAATGGGCTGGTGGATGGATGGATGGATGGATGGGTGGATGGATGCAGGTTGTCCTAGAGATCTCTCCAACTCTGGCCAAGGAGAAGAGGAAGGTGTGTTGAGGTGCATGGCATTAAGACACTGCATCTAATGTATGATCATTGCAGGTGGTTCCTAATGTTACTTACCAGTGCATGGAGCTGAATCTCTACAAAATCCCTGATAACCTCCCTACATCAATCAAGAACCTGGACTTGAGCTTTAACCCCCTGAGGCATTTAGGCAGCCACAGCTTCTCCAACTTCTCAGAACTGCAGGTGCTGGATTTATCCAGGTAATGACAAGCTTTTAGACACTGAACCAGGTAAAATGTCCATTGTTCTATCATTTCAGTCACTTATTCATCCATTCTTTAGATGTCTTACTTGCTATATAACTTTGGAAAAGCCACATGCCTTCTCCAGTTCTTCGTTTTACATACAAAATATGTGAAATCAGTAGTTAGACAAGAGGCAGTTTCTAAGGATAATCCTATCTTTGAACTTCCTTTTAAGTCAGGAGAGCAAAGGGTCTCAAACTCTTTCATCAGCAGATGACTACTTGCTATATGTACACTCTGTTAGGAATCAGAAGTATGTTGAGATATAGCATTCAATCTCAGCCACCAAGGAGGGCATATCTACTTTCAAGAGTTAATACGCTAAAATCATGAGCATGGTGCTGGGCACATAATAGACATTCAACAAATATTACTGATTTTGATTTTGGATTTTGAACCTGAGATAATAAAAATAGGCAAGAGTTGGTGATAAGCTATGTGAAAACTAGAGGCTACACACTGCATTTTTCAGAAGAGGGGTGTTCTCTGCAGTGGATAGTCAAGACAGACTTCATGATCTGAGTGGATTAAAAGTGATGTAGAGAATAGGGAATTAGGAAGATACAAGGAACCCAGGAGAAAGATGGCAAGATCTAAGGGAAACATATGCTGTGGGGAGAGAACACTGACTAAGATTTCCCTTTCTGATGCAGGGAATTTATCATTCATTATGACAGGTTAACTTATTATCATTATTTGGGAAGGGGAAACTGAATCTTAACATTGATTAGGGGGCTTCCCCGGTCTGTGTGGCTCAGTGGTTCAGCATCAACCTATGAACCAGGAGGTCACGGTTTATTTCCAAGTCAGGGCACATGCCCTAATTGCGGGCTCAATCCCCAGTGGAGGGGGTGGGGTCGTGCAGGAGGCAACCAATCGATGATTCTCTCTCATCATTGATGTTTCTATCTCTCTCTCATTCTCCCCTCCTCTCTGAAATCAATAAAAATGTATTCTTAAAATATTGGTTAGGAGTCTTATTAAAAAATAGTGAACTATATTTAGCTAGTGGACTCAATAACAAACCATAGTTTCTGTAACAGTTTGTGAAAAATAGAGAAACACTGCACATATGGCTTTTTATTATGGACTAGAAGCCTGGTGCATGTAAATTTATGCACTGGAGTGGGGGGGGTCCCTCAGTCTGGCCTGCCCCCTCTCACAGTCCAGGAGCCCTCAGGGGCGGGAGGCAACCCAGTGATCAGAGGAAGGCAACACCCCCATCACACCTCTGTTGCTGCCACTGCCGGCAGTTCAAGCCTCGGCCGGCCCTGGTTACCTGAGCCTAGGGTGGCCCTGGGTGGCTGGGCAGCCTACATCAGAGGCTTGCCTGCACCATGGGCCAGTCCTGGGTGGCTGGGGGGCTGAGGGCGGGTCCGGCCGTACCTGGCTTCTGCCACCCTCCCCCTTCACCTCCCCCACTCCCCCCCCCCCCCGCATGGCTGAAAGGACTGGGGGACTCCGGCGGGGCTGAGGGGACTGGGTGCCACCTTAGTATGGCTATGGGCATCGCCATCTTTGTGATGGTGTGATGGTCAATTTGCATATTCCATCTTTATTAGATAGGATAGTCCTGATAAAGACTAACAGCACAGTTGAAATAAATCTAGAGTAGATGTTTCTGTAAAGAGTGAGCATCTGATGTTCACTCAGATACCGACAGAGTATAACAAAGAAGAGTGAGGCATGTCAAAGGCAGTGGTGTATTTTATAGAGCCTGTGGGGTCAGGTCCTCTGCCAACATGTACAGCTACATGGCCTGAGGCATGTCACTTCATCTCTCTGAATCTCCAGTTTCACATCTGAGAAGCAGAAATGATGAAACTTACCCCATAGGGTTAAATGTGATAATGAATGCTGACATGCTCTACATACTTAAAATCTTAATAAAGGAGACTTGATAAGTATAAAGTATTATTATTGTAGCATTTCATTACTTTCTAAACTTCAGATTTCTAACTAAGAATCTTGTCAAGAACTGTATGGAGGTAGACAGACCAACCCTCCCTCTGTTTTAAATAAGTAGTAGTTTCTTATAATTCATCTTTGATCCATCACCAACCACAGGGACTTTTCTCAGAGACCTTAATATGTGCTCAGAGAGAGGAAGCTTCCTCTCTGGTTAGCCAGTAAGAAGACAAGGGCACACAATGGTATAATAGACAGTCTATGCCTATTCATATTGCTTTACAATGTTCACATACAGTAACTCAACTAGTTCTCTAAGGATCCTTTGTGATGAGCCAGGAAGCCTCTTTTTTTTCTATAGAAACCTATTGATACATTTTTTTCTTTTTATAGACAAGGAAACTGAGGCAGGGAAAGTTTAAGTGACTTATCTATGTTCATGTATCTTGCTGGCAGCAGAGTAGAAATTCAAGTTCACATCTCCCACTTCCAATTTCAATGTTTACTTCATCTTAGTACTTGATTTCTCTAAAGTGATGAGTACCCTTTGATGAGATAGAGACACAGCAAGACTCTTCCAGTTTTTCCTGATGCATGGAATGATATATACATAAGATTACAGACTATAAAATCATAGAGCTAAAGCAACTTGAGAAAGAATCATGTTTAGCTGCCTCATTTATAAATGTGGTAACTTAGGCCCCTAAGGAGAAAAGGAGTCCCTCAGATCACGCTGTAGAAAAGGACAAGCAGAGATGCTAGAACCCAGATGTCTTGGCCTCATCTTCCACTGTCCTTTCTGCTGCACCCGCTACCTTCTATCCAGTTATCAGTCAATAACAGAAACCTGGACTGAAATGCTTGTACTACCCATGAACCTCCTGAAGGAGATAGGGCAAATGGAAACATTGCCAATGTAGTTCAGGTTAGACTAGGAAAGGAGCCATTTACAAACTGTAACTGGCAGGAACTTGCCATGCTAGCAAGAGTTGACCATTAGCTCACTGTTGGTTGGCTGGATAAAAGCCCTGTCTCATGGATACCTCTACGAACATTGTATAGCATGGCTTCCATTTCACTTGGGGTATAATGCAAAGTCCTTTTTCTGGTATTAAAGCCTCGGGCCTTAGTTTAACTTCCGTTCTCCACGATCCCTTCTCACACCCCTCCACTTCCTTCTCTGACTCCGGACGAAGAAGTTGGTTCTCACAGTTCCTCTGTGTATGATGGCTGCCACCTAACTCAAGGGTTTTGTACCTGCTGTTGTGCTCACTTCCTTTTCTTGTTCATCCCTATTCATCTTTCAAATTTCAACTTAAATGTTCTCAGAGAAGCCTGCTTTGACCCCTCCCCTCCCCCGTCTAAGTCTGTTCCCTGGGTATAAACTCTCCTAGATTTTTCTTTAATAAAACTCACCTTTATCACTAATGTTTACCTGTGATATTTATAACTTTTCATCAACATTACGGGTACCTGTGACACTTAGGTATAATTTCTTACATTTTGAAATTGACATTCACCAGTCATTTATCCTGCCCAACAACTAACTGGACTGTCTGTAACAATCAGATGTATGGGCACAATTACCTGGGGCAGGAAATGGCTAACGTTGATCCCCGACTATTACATACTCTGTCAGCCATACCTTCTGTATGTGACCCAATTATTGATCTTTAACTGATTTTGTTCTGATGGATGTATTGTCTCTGCTTAGCATGTGTGATAAAAGTTTGTTGCCCTGGCTGTGGTGGCTCGGTTGAGTGCCATCCCGTGTACCAAAAGGTCGCAGGTTAGATTCCTGGTCAGGGCACATACATGCCTGATTGCGGGCTCAATCCCCAGTAAGGGACAAGTTGGGTGCAGAAGGCAGCCGATCCATGGTTCTCTCTCATCGATGTTTCTGTCTGTCTCTCCCTCTTCCTTCATCTCTCTCTAAAATCAATAAAAACATACTTTTTTTAAAAAAGAGTTTGCCACTGCGGCTCATAAGATAATACCCAAGCTGTAAGGCTTCAAATGTGTCCCTGCCATCATCAGCTTTGGCATCTTTGCCTGTTCACAACTGTATGGCATGTCAAAGCTGTGGGGAGAGCTAGATGCTGCTGCTTTTCCATTGTGGGCTCCCTATTCATCAGAAACATATAATCTGTATCTGTTTTCCCTGTAGGTGTGAAATTCAGAAGATTGAAGATGATGCATATCAAGGCCTAAAGCATCTCTCCATCTTGATATTGACAGGAAACCCTATCCAGAGTTTAGCCCCGGGAGCCTTTTCTGGACTGCCAAGTTTACAGACACTGGTGGCTGTGGAGACAAACCTAGCATCACTAGAGGACTTCCCCATCAGACATCTGAAAACCTTGAAGGAGCTTAATGTGGCTCACAATCTAATTGATTCCTTCAAGTTACCGGACTATTTTTCTAACCTGCCTAACCTGGAGCACTTGGATCTTTCCAATAACAAGATCCGCAATATTTACCATGAAGACTTGCAGGTTTTACATCAAATGCCCTCATTCAAACTCTCCTTAGACCTGTCCCTCAACCCTTTAGACTTTATTCAACCAGGTGCCTTTGAAAAAATTAAGCTCCATGAACTGACTTTGAGAAGTAATTTTGATAGTGCAGAGGTCATGAAAACGTGTATTCAAGGTCTGGCTGGTTTAAAGATCAATCGGTTGATTCTGGGAGAATTTAAAAATGAAAGAACCATAGTAAACTTCAACAAATCTGCCCTGGAGGGTCTGTGCAATTTGACCATTGAAGAATTCCGGATAGCACACTTCGATGAGTTTCCAGGGGATGATCTTGGCTTTTTAAATTGTTTGCCAGAGGCTTCTACAATATCTCTTATGGGTCTGTATTTAGACGAGCTAAAAATCTTTCCAAAAGGTTTCAAATGGCAATACTTAAATTTGTCTAAATGTATATTTGAACATTTTCCTACATTGGAGCTTACCTTTCTCAAGCAGTTTGTTTTCACTGCCAACAAAGGTATTACCACTTTTACTAAAGTTAATCTACCAAACCTTGAGTTTCTAGATCTCAGTAAAAATGGCTTGAGTTACAAGTCTTGCTGCTCTCACCGTGATTTTGGGACAACCCAACTGAAACACTTAAATCTGAGCTTCAATAATATTATTATCATGACTTCAAACTTCTTGGGCTTAGAGCAACTAGAACGTCTGGATTTCCAGCATTCCACTCTGAAACAGGCCAGTGATTTTTCAGTATTCCTCTCACTCAAAAATCTCCTTTACCTTGATATCTCTTACACTAACACCAAGATTGTCTTCCTGCGCATCTTTGATGGCTTGATCAGCCTCCAAGTCTTGAAAATGGCTGGCAATTCTTTTCAGGATGCACTCCTTCCAAATATCTTCAGAGATCTGACTCAGTTGACTGAACTGGACCTCTCTCAGTGTCAACTGGAACGGGTGTCCCAGGAGGCATTTGGCTCACTCCTTAGACTCCAGGTGCTAAATATGAGTCACAACCACCTCTTGTCCTTGGATATGCTTCCTTTTAAAAATCTCTCTCTCCGGGTTCTAGACTGTAGTTTTAACCGTATAGTGGCCGCCAATGGGCAGGAACTACAGCATTTTCCAAGCAATGTAACTTCCTTAAACCTGAACCAGAATAACTTTGCTTGTGTTTGTGAACACATGCGCTTCCTGCAGTGGGTCCAGGATCACAGGCACATCTTGGTGGGAGCTGAACACATGATGTGTGAGAAACCTTTAGCTATGCAGGGTGTGCCTGTGCTCAGTTTTAGAAATGCCACCTGCCAGATGAGCAAAACTATCATTAGTGTGTCAGTTCTCTCAGTACTCGTGGTATCTGTAGCCGCAGTTCTGGTCTACAAGTTCTATTTCCACCTGATGCTTCTGGCTGGCTGCAAAAAGTATGGCAAAGGGGAAAGCACCTACGATGCCTTTGTCATCTACTCCAGCCATGATGAGGACTGGGTGAGGAATGAGTTGGTGAAGAACTTGGAGGAGGGAGTCCCCCCCTTTCAGCTCTGCCTTCACTACAGAGACTTTATCCCTGGTGTGGCCATTGCTGCCAACATCATCCAGGAAGGTTTCCACAAGAGCCGGAAGGTCATTGTGGTGGTGTCCCGGCACTTCATCCAGAGCCGATGGTGCCTCTTTGAGTACGAGATCGCCCAGACCTGGCAGTTCCTGAGCAGTCACGCAGGCATCATCTTCATCGTCCTGCAGAAGGTGGAGAGGTCCCTGCTCAGGCAGCAGGTGGAACTGTATCGCCTTCTCAGCAGGAACACTTACCTAGAGTGGGAGGACAGTGTCCTGGGCCGGCACATCTTCTGGCGACGACTGAGAAAAGCCTTGCTGGATGGTAAGCCATGGAGTCCAGAAGGAACAGAGGATGCAGAAAGCAGCCAGGATGAAGCAACGACCTCCACCTAACGTACAGACACTCCTTGGGTGCCTCTTGCCCAGGTGCATCCAATATTTGTTCCGTTGACAATTATTAAATGCTGCAGCATAGCAGACATTGCACCAAGGGAAGGTGCTTCAGTGGTACCCAGGACACACAGGACTGCTAATCTCACGGAGTTTACAGTGTGGAGGGAATAAATACTGTGCTAAAATATAGAACCTGCAGGTGGATGTTTCAACCAACTCAGCCTAGGCATTCAGGACAAAGAAACTCAACTCAACTCTTACCCTATATACTTGAATTATAACTAAGAGACCTGCCCTGGTAACATCAGAAAAGGACATAATTCTTCTCCTGAGCCTTTTGAATGGAAAGCACCTCATATTTTTTGTGTTGGCTGCCTTGAAACAAAGTGGTTTTGTCGTTTCTACTACACTGGGCCTTTGCTCACTTTTCCCATTTCTATTGAATACAATTTAAATTCTACGTGATGACTCAGAAGGCTTCTAATTCAGATCCTCCCTCCACTTCAAGTCAATTTCCTCACAAAGGTCAAAAACCTGCACCCATTTCCTAAGGACACCTGATGAATGTATCTTCACAAACATCCCGGTCATTATTAACTGATAGTCCCTGATGTATTTTTGTTTTTATAAATTCAGTTTTCATTTTACACGTCTTCTCTATAAACCTCAATTTTTCAATATGGTTGTAAGAGACATACTGGAAATATCCATGTTTAACCAATATCTTTCAAGCAAATATGTCAAATACACTCTGTCACTTTGTCACTTGATGTCATTCTAAATTGATTGCCGATTAAGTTATGACTGTCATAAAGGAAGCATTAAAATAATTTGGTGGAAAGTGGTGCTTATTGTAACGGGGGAGAGAAGTCTGACATCTTGGTCTCATAATGAGTAATTTGGGCTTGAGGAGGGGCAAAAGGTGGGATGGCGGCAGGAGGGCAGCTCTTCTGGATGATCCTAGAAACAGGTGGGCTGACGCAGCCGGGGGGAACACAAGACAAGAGTTGCAGAAAAGGTTTTTTTCTGCGCCAAATGAGTGTTTGATGAAACACTGAATCCCTGAGGGGATTGTGAAATGATTCAAGGTGGGGAACACACGTTGTTTCTTCCTGTTGGGCATCACTCCATGACCACATTGACAAAAGAGTACATGTTCTCATTGAGAAAATATGTTCCTGGGGTTAATAAGGGTCATGGTAAGGGGAGTTCTCAGAAAAGCACACTCACTGAGGTTCTCAGAATAGTGCATTCAAAGAAAGCAATGAGGACATTTGGAAAATACAATTGTCAGAACTGGAACTATGGCCACATGCAAGAATGTGCTTGTGCCTGAGTGTTTCAGAGTGTGTTTTGGTCTGAGCTTGGTCGGAGTTGCCCAATGTGCCTGGGTGTGTTTTTAGGTCTTAATGTGCTAGTGAAAGTGGATGTGTGTGTCTGTTCATATGCCTCTCCGTCTCTGTGTATGAAGACCATGTGTCTGGATGAGAGCGATTGTATTTCAAGGGGAGGAATGTGGGCATTTGGTATGGATGCCTACAGCTGTCTGAGTTCTGTACTCTTGTGTCTGTACATGATTGCTTACATACAAGTGGATGCATTAGATCCTGAGTAGCTTGAAGGTCTGTTTTTGTGTATGTCCTGGCTATATGGGAGTGTGCTCATGTGCATATTTGAGTACGAGTTCTGCATATGTGTTTTAGTTTAAGCAAATATATAAGACTCCAAGGAGGAAAATAAAAATACAACTGGAGTGGATCCTGTATGCTGGTCTCCTTCCCATTAGCCCCTTCTCTGAGATGGGGACTCTGAAAATGGAGGGTGAGGTAGACAAGAAAGGAAAAAAAAATGGTATGACAGAGCAGAAGGGGAAGAAAGAGGAAAGTCATGCCTAGGGATGGAATCCATTTAACTTTTCTGGAGTAGAGAGACATGAAAGGTAGAATAAAGATAAATTAATATCATTAGAAAGCCTTAAATTTGTATACTACCCTATAAATTGGAACATATTAACACAGTGACAACCACATTCGAATCTCTTATTATCCAGGTGAAGTAGCAGACTAAGAATTCGAATCCCATCATACTGATGTGAGACCTGAGGTTCACGGGAGTCACTTTATTGTCAGTAGGCACAGGTTAAATGAGTGGCCGGCCTGCCCTTGGACTTCGGCCTTCTCTTTCCACTCCGCCCTCCCCCGTTTCATGATTAAGGCTGGCAAGGGAGAAGTGAAACCCAGCAGCTCTCTGTGCAGTTGACACTTGTCAAGGGTTTTTCACTGAAACCGTGAAATTAGGCAAACGCATATGCATTTGTCTTATATATACTGAATAATTTATTTATAACACATTTCTTTCCATGAAGGATGTGAGGGAGATTCAAGCATAGTATACATGGCCAATAAGTTTAATCAGTCAGAACTAGAAACTCTGGTCTAAGTTACTTTGTAGAAGTGAGGGAAGAAGACTTCCAACAGTTATTCTTTGATGTTATTGTTCAGCCCTACTCTCTTGCTTTCTGTATGACATGTAATTTAAATCCCTACACCATGCCTATGAGATGGGTACTAGTCAAATCAGTGTTATTGTCCATTAGGAAACCGAGGCTCTGGGACTGTAAGTGACCTGTTCAAAGTCACACAGGCAGAAAGTGGCGGCACTTGCATTTAAACTCAGTCTCTGATATTAAAAGCCAACTATGCTAGATGGTTTCTCTAATGCCTTCCCCTCTTTCATATACAGATTGGAATGTTACTGCTATTTATTTTTATTTTCTCATTGTTGTAGCCAGGGCTCAACACCAGAACCCAGGCATGATGGTAGAACTGAAGGATGGGTGTCTGGTGGAAGGATGAGCTGTGTAAGAGACATCGGGTATTTGAAACCAACCCTTTTCTCTGACAATGTTGGACTAAGCCTCTCCCACTTCAACTCTCTTTTCCCGTGGAGTGAATTCTTGTCCATGAGGCTCCAGTGCAAATCGGTCCATCCAGATAGGCCGAGCTATTTTCATGTTTATAGTAATGACCCACCATTCTTCCCTCAGAGATCTTTTCTGACAAGTGGTTTTAAATAAGACTCTTCCTTTCAATGCTTTCATTAAATGGCAATGACATGTCATTGGAAATCAACTCAGTAAGGCGGCTTAGCTGATATAGTCTGAGTCCATCAACTTTAGCACCTTGATACAGGCTTCAAGTTAGACTGAGCAACATAGTGTGCCCCGCTGACTGCATTTCCCGCCGGCAAAATCACGCTCCCTTCTTTTCTCTTGACTAAATGAGAGGACTCAAATACCTGAGACTTTGAGACTCAGAATTTCAGCCTAGTTCCTAGAATGCTGAGAATCCATTTTTCTAGCTGAAGAAAAATGTAGATGATTTGAAAATTAGGAGTGGCTGGAAAGTTTGCTTTTACTTTCTTTCTAGGGAATATTCTAGTTATTGTTACTAAATGTAGGGAGTATCAATTTTTAATAATTCTACGTGGACTTTTATTATGTACATACTAGTCTAGCAGATGCATATAGATGACTTGGATTTGAATTCTGATTCTTCCACACATTCACAATACAATTTTGGACAAGTTTATCAATCTCTCTGACTTCAGTTTGGTTTTTTTTTTTTTGGTTTTTTTTTGAATAGGGAGGCTAAGTCTCTCCTATCCTACAAGGTACTATACCAATAAAACGGAGAGTAGAGAGGAGACACAGCACGTCTCTCATTTTAGCTGCTTGAAGGGGCTGCCGGAAGAACAGGATGAGTGGACATAGAAACCAGTAATCCTGGGAGTTCCTAAGGCAGGAGGTCTCATAGCCATAGTCAAAGTCAGCAATTTGACTCCCAAGGAGGGAGAGTGGGAAGAGAAGGCAGGGTCCCAGATCTGCAACACACACTGAATGACCGGCTGCTGCTGCTAGAATGCACAAAGGGGCAAAGCCATGCTCTGTTTATTTATGATGCAGCAGAATCCTGGTGCCTTGGAAAGTGAACTCCTGGGAGGATGGACACCGAGATCTGGTCCAGGCTCCCCACTGACTTTTTGAGTGATCGTGGCAAAGTCATGCAATGACTTGAATGGCTATAATGATCATGCAAATGATGATAATTGTTACCTTTCACAGAGAAATCATTTTGTGCAAGGCCTTTATAGTGCTATTTCCTTTGTCACATCAATGAATTAGAAAATGGTAATTATTTCCAATTTACAGATAAGGAGATTGACACTTGGAGACATTCTATAATGTGTCAGGCATTGTGGAACCTGCTGACAAAGGGCAGCTCTGAGGTGAGGATGCAGGTCCACTTCATTTCTTTGCCAGGATTATTAAACACTGTGCCATGTCAGAGCCCCCCTCTCCCACAAACATGCATAAAACCTCCTCATTCACCATCATAATTTTGAATGATATCAACCAAAGGTAATTATTGCTATTGCTACTTATTGGTATTACTACTACAGTCATAAGAGTCTGGGCAAAAGTAAATCAAAGATGTATGTGATTAAAGATTTGTAACAATGGACACATCAGACCCACAAGATAATGGCTGTCCTGTAGACAACATGGTTAGATTGCTGTACCATTTCTCTGGTCAGTCGGACTTCCTGCGGGGATCACAGACCTGTGGTTGACCACGGAGGTTATGGGGGAAATTCCAAAAGCTAAGGACTCTTCAGATGGTTGGAATGAGATCACATTCTGTGGGCTCCATTATGGAGATCATTACATTTTTCAGATCAAAGTGAACACTGTGGAATAAGTGGTTGATCAAAAGGAACCTAATTCATTGAGCATCATGTGTACTCACCTGATTGCTTCCTGTACCCTGTGAGCTAGGTACTAGGCTCCTCATTTTAGCCATGAGGACATGGATACCCACAGAGGATCAGTAATGTGTCTAAGGTCACACAGCTCATATGTATTCATCACAATAATATTTGCTAAGCTTTTGGTACATGCCTGGGACTGCTCTAATCTGGGCATTAATTAATTTTTAAAATTAAATGACCATGTATTGGCAGCTGTGCCATTTCTCAGGTAAAGAAACTGAGGAGCAAAGAGTGAAATCCCCAATTGGAAGATGGAGACTTAGGGTGTGAAGTCAAGTTGGCTTCATGCCCAGGGCTGCATTCTTTCCCCCATGTAACAGCAGCCTTGTGTCCTGCACTGTTCTGCCAGGGGTGGTCAGAGAAGTGACTAGAAAATAATCTAGACAAGGTCAGGAACTCCCATGCCATTTAAAAATTGAAAGTTTAAAAGGCAATGCCTGCTACTCTCCTTGATGTCTACAGAAATAGAGATGATACCGCCCTGTGACAGTGCTAAGTGACAATTCTGAGTGTAAATGGGCTTTTTGGCACAAATTGTCCTGTCCTAATAGTCTTGATTATAATTATAAAATAATGGGTTTCTGAAAGGCTGAGAGCAGTTCTGGGAATGGCAATAAGGGCTTAGAAACGACGTGTTTATGCGAGAAGTGTTTTGTTGAACATTAAATGCACGTTTAGGAGAAAGGATTGTGTTGTATGCTCTTAGGAAACTATCTCACTATGTAATTAAATCAAAACCAGTCGGCTGCCAAGTTGTGCTCTTGTCTCTCAGGAACAACACCCCATCAAGACAGGACTGACCTAAGGTAACCCAGCCTGGTTCTTAGCCTCTGTTCACCAGCCCCTTCTCCCCCATCTTCCCAGGGCCCTGCAAGGAGATGGAATGTCCCGGCTGAAGTTCTTCCTGGAACCCAGGCTGAACTTTCTCTTTACTCTTTCTTGGTGCTCTTCCCACCTTCACACACTAAAAAAATGAACAGTCTTCCTATTTAAGGAGTAT